AAGAGCCATAGAGACCTGGCCATCTGGGGCCTTTGCCCAAGGAGACGGCACGTGGACAGGACCTTGCCATGCAACAAGCAAGAAGCCAGGCTGCCCGTTTGCCCACAGTGAGCAGAGCTCATTCTCCTAACTTTTCCAGATAACACACACCTTACCTTGTGATGCTGTCCGTGACCTCTGAAAGTTCAAGGTCAAAGCCTCTGCCAAAAGCAGATCGGACCACAACTCTTCTGTTTCTGTAACTTCCTAGGTTAATTCATTTGGCATGCAATACTATTTTCACAGATGTAAACAGCCTGGCTCACGTACCGCATACTGCGCCCACAGCAGGCACTTCCCAAGCAAGACCACAGGCCTCAGTAAGGCCCTCGAGCACCTTGTCCAGTGCCAACAAGAAGCAGGGGCAGCACCCTCTGTCCTAGAGCCGAGGGGCCAGTGGTATGGCTGAGGCCTGCGGACAGACCAGCTAGATGCAAAACAGGTCCTCTAATAATGATTTTTTGGAGCAGAATGCCCCACGTACAACACCCAGCAGTTTACACTGCTCAGAAAATCTAACATGTGCTCACCCACACTGCAAGTCAAAAATTCTACAACCAAACTCGACTGCACACAAGAGTCTGACTCCAGTGCCTTTTCCGGCTCCTTCCCAAGATCTCCGGGAACTAGATTCCCAGCATAGACTGACTCTAGGTCTGAGTTCTCAAGAGATTCCAGTACACAAAACAATTCCCAAGTCACTGAGGGCTCACGGGCTCTCACAGACCCAGCGGTAGGGCTCAGTGGACCACGACACATCTGCTCCCAGCGCCCATCCAGCGGGCTCAGTCCACTACCTGGGCCCAAACTGCAGAGCACAGTGAAGGCACCTGCAGCCCGAGGGGTTCACTGCTCTGAATGGGGCACTCTGTGAGCCCCAGCACCATGCAGACAAACACAGGCTGACACAGACGAGCGCACCAAGCCTGGGCTGGAGACCCAGAGACCCAAGCACCGTGAGCTTAGACTTGCTGTGCAGAGCATTAAAGCCTAGAGATGCAGTGTCCACTTCACAAAGGTCTCCAGGAAGCAGATCATGTCTCTGGTGGGACTAAGGTGCATCCCAAAGAGGTGCAGCCCTGCGGCCGAGGCTGCGCACTGTGCCGTGAACTCAGCTTCCAGTGCAGCACGGATCTATCATTTTCCTTCAGTAAAGTCAACCTCATCTGATGTGTACAGTCAGCTCCCTCCAGGACCCAGACCGCCTCGACCAAGACCAAAGGCATGATAAGAGGCAATTTAACTTCATAGAATACTTTAACCTATTCCACTTAAAACAGCTGGCTGCCGGGGATCAGCATGCTGCTCTCATTCGTTGAGCCCTTTCCTGTTACACCAAGGGTCACAGAGCACTGCATGTTACCAGTGATTAAAAGAAGACAGCAAGGTGAAAAGATGTGCAAAGCCCCCAGAAAAGAAAAAGAAAAAGAAAAAGGCTCAGCTGGAACACTAGAAATTCTAATCAGTTATGGATGAGTAACTTAAAAATTGGCAACTCTCCTCAAAAATTGTATCCATAAACTATTGAAACAGGCTGGCAAGATAGCTCAGCAGACTAAAGCACCTGCTTAGGCAAGCGCAGGGACCAAGATTCAATCCCTGGCACCATATGCCACGCCAGCCCCACCCCAGGGTGGGCTAAGCCCATCAGTGTCTGGGCATAGTGGTGTACACCTGTAATCCCAGCACTGGGGAGGCTGAAAGCAGGAGGATCACTATGAGTCCAGTCTATGTAGTGAGATCCTGTAGATCCTATAGGCCCTGTACTACATATAATTTTTAAAAAATTCATAAAATGGGACCATGCTGCCTGTAATCTGGCCAACCTCTGTGCCACATGTAACCGTCCCTCACCCTCTCAGAGCTGGAAGGACAGCGGGGCCTGGTGCCAACGGTGGGCACAGGGCTGGGACAGTGCTGCTGGCAGAAGGTACAGGCAGCAGTGTGGGGTGCTGCTCTTCTGAGAACGGTGACTACCACTATGAATACAACTCTGCCTTCCAGGTGAGAAAGGGCTGGGAAGAACACTGCTGCCTGCAAGGGGAAGCAGCAGACGTTCCCCTAGAATACCACCCTTGCTTGAACACCCACTAGTCCCTAGTACACTAACCATGCCCCCTCAGCATGCCCACCAGTCCCCTAGCACACCCACCATACCTAGCACACCCATCAGCCCCTACCACGCCTACGTACCTCAGCAATCCATCAGCCCCCTAGCACTCCTGCCAGCCCCCAGCACACCCACCATGCCCCCTCGCACACCAAACATACCCCAGTAGCACACCTATCATGCCTCTGCACACCCACACCCTCAGCCCCCTACCACACCCACGCCTCCAGCACCTCCAACAGTCCCCTTGTACTCCAACCACACCCCCTAGCAACACACCACACCCCTAGCACACTCACCAGCCCCCTAGCACACCCACCAGGTTCCCAGCATACCCATTACACCCCCAGCACACCCTT